ACATTTTGTACTTATGCTTATTTTTGTTACTTCATGGGGTGAAATTGGGTTGCGTTCAGCTTAGCCTGGTTTCACAATTACATCCATCCTCCGGCATCTTTGGAAAAGGAAAAACAGAGGTGGTGGCAAGCATGTCTAAGTAAGGAAGTAAAACAGGAGTGGAAATCATACTGAAGGACTAATGTTTTGTCCTGAACTTCTCATACCTCTCCCTTGATCTGTCAGCTTTAAGGAAAATATGTCAATATGCAGAAAACGACACAACTTACTGAATCGGGGGAAGCAGACATCCAAATATCCCTTAATTCTAAAAAGAAATCTGTTTTCCTTTGCATTAGGTGGTTAATTCTGGAAAACAGACACACCTTTCTCGGTGACCTCCTTCTCAGAAGGGTCATCAATACTTAAATACTCCTGATGCACAAACATGTCTGACCCCCACTTACTGCTGCCGCCATGACTGTGTGTGCGTAATGGGGGTTCGTCGTTATAATTTCATGACCCTCCACGCAATGAGACACAACACGACAGCATCAATTATTCAGCCCACCTCGGTGGCGAGTCACATGACGGGCGGAGAACCTGGAGACACGGGGTTGTTGTCTGGCAGATTACAGAGGTGGAGCGGACCAACTAAAAACTGATGGATGTTGCACTGATGGATGTTTTTACTAGCAGCAGCAACATATCTAGCAGCACCTTTCATTCCTTTGCAGTCAAAAGGCATTCATGCTATCAACGGGCTAGTCAATGAGCAACCATCTGCTTCCTGATGCCATTAACCTTTAACCTTAGAGATGGGTCAGGAGTCAAATGATCGACCTCTCAGGTATCCTGACAATAAAGGGGAAGAAGCAAATTGGATACGGGAGGCTGAGAGGGGACGCAATCCTCAGTGGTTCTTTGGTTTTTAACACGTTAAATGACACGGTGAGAATGTGGGAACATTTTTCTTTATTTATAAGTTATTACTTAAACCACATACGCTGTTTTGATCACTTTTAGACTAATGAACGTTGACAATTTAGTTTCTAATATGTTCTTTAGTTTGCCTACTTCATGTTGTTAAGCAGGTTCTTCTCGTGTCATCAATCGCATTAAAACAAAAATATAAAAATTGTTTTTTTCACCTTTATAGAATAAAACATGAGCTAAAACTGCATTTTCTTTTTAGCCAGGATATCTTTGTCTAATGTTAAAATCTGTTTGATATGAAATATAAAAGGGAAAACTATATCTAACCTGACAAAAACTTCTGCTGTGTTTAAGCTTAGATTAATAAAACAAAAAGACAGGCCTCTTTAGAGCTGAACTCTAGTGAACAACCTGTTCTTTTTGCGAAGAAGAGAGGCTTTGGACACATTCCCAGCTTTATTTCAAAAAGGAAAACAAAGGAAAGAACAGCCAGCTGCGCTCTGTTATGGCCTCTTGGTGCCTTTGCTTTTTTTTTCTTGACATTATTATTTTAGACATAACTTTCTTACTTTAAATCATTGTTTGAATGTAAGTCTACTTAGACCATCATTGGGTGCTGCTCTCCAGCCGTTGAGTTAGGCTGTTTTCCCTGTAATTCACTTTAAAATGGAGGAAATACCACAAAATTTGGGTTGTAATTCCTCATAAGGAGATAAATGCTTGGATGGAACATTTCCTGTCTCTAAACGATGAATCTGTTCGTTGTTCCTCCTGAACGCAGCTCCCTGCCTCCTGTTCCACATTCCTCAACACCCCCCCCAACTTATATACCCTGCCCTCCATTCAACCTTTTCTTTTTAACGCACCCCCTCCTCTTCATATGCTTTCAGCCAGTCTTCTGAGGGCTTCTAAACCTCCCTGTAGTCATATTCAGTTTTCTCATCCTCTCTGGGATATCTGGGAGTGGGAGAGACAGTGGGCAGTTGATCTTTCATCACACTCCCGTCTCTTTGTGAGCGTGCGTAGAAGTTTACATAACCCCCATAAGAGCCCGCATCGGCTGCTGTGCTTCTTAGTTAAACACAGCAGCTGCCTATCCCTTCCATCCAGCAGCAGATGCAGCAGTGATAGCCCTCTTATCTGTTCAAACACTCATGCTGCTTTGTATTACCAGTGTCAGCTGCACTTGATTAAATCAGGCTATGCCCAAAATCAAATAAAACTGCTTGAGTAGGATTTCGAAGAGGCATTGCCTAGACGGCATAAGAGTAGGAATTTTCTGACCTTTTGTTTCTAGTAGGTGAGGGAATTTTGTTTATATGACATTTGTCTAAACTTTTCCAGGGTTTTTGCTTTCACAATAAAACCACACACTTTTAAACGTTTTAGCTTAATAAATCTTAGAAACATGGCATGCATATCTATTTAGGGGGGTGGTGGCCTAGTAGAGGTTCTAGGTTCAAGTCCCACTCATTCCCACAAACTGCCACTCTGTGTGTCTGAGCAAGACCCTAAACCCCAGACTGCTCCCTGTGTGCCACACAATGGCAGCCCACTACTCCCCAAAGGGAGGGGTTAAATGCAGAGAGTGAATTTCCCAATTGTGAGACAATAAAGGGATTAGATTTTTTTTTTATCTCCATTTACTAGAAAAATTATAATTAAAGAAAAAAATATATATATGAGAAAACATGTTGTGGGACACGGTGGTGGCAGTGGCATGCTGTGGGGATCCTTCTCCTAAAGGGCTAGTTATACTTCTGCAGCAGTGTGTCACATTTAACTTGTCGCAGGTATGACGCAGATATTTTTGATCTATGCACAATATTGAAGCGTGGTCTGCGCTGTTATTCCACGCCACAAGGCAAGAGGGACAATCGTGAACAAGCTGTGGGTCTAGATACGGCCTAAGCGGTGAGGAAGCAGAAAAAAACGCAAGGGGCATGTTTGTGCGACAACGGAGGGACATTAGGGTGAAAAAAAAAGCGGGGATCCAGACGTTTTCCACAATGGCGGTCATACAAACAGAACAAGCCTGTAAGGTACCAAACAGGAAATATGCATAGTGTAGAGTGGATGTAGATTTGACCAACCAGAGGCCTCCTGTCTGCGGCACTGTCCGTGGTCACCTAGAGATGCACCAGAGTGTCTGCAGAAGGAGCGAGGGCATATCTGCATTAACTGCAACACATGCAGACGACCTGGTTTCTGAGTATAAATCAGCCTTCAGCAGGGACATGCAAATGAACACCATTACGTATAATTTCGTAAGTAATTGCTGTAGGTCATTCTCAAAAAAGCATAATTGACGTGTAAAAAAAAAATTTTTTTTGAAAAAATATTGACCTAATACTTAAAACATTTAGATCAGGGGTCTCAAACCGGTTCCAGAAAGGGCCGTGTGGCTGCATTCATCTCATCAAGTCCTCATGTTCAGATTGCACTCAGGTAATGAGATGAATGGAGTCTGGTGTGCCATTGCTTGGTTGGAAAGAAAACCCGCAGCCACACGGCCCTTTCTGGAACCAGTTTGTCTTAGCCTTTTATATTGTATGTTTTCTTATGTTTTTTAACTGTGTTGTGAGGGACTTTGTGGCATTGTTCTATGAAAGATGTTATATAAATAAAGCTTACTTACTATATGAGGGCTGAACTGTCTGCATGGACTTCATGTGACTGTCTGCAGTAGCATGTAGGGGCCCTTAGATCCCAATATGGTATTGTTACACCTCTGTTAGAACAAGTTTAGGTCTAAACTCAATGTCTCAGCTTGACAGACACAAAACTAGGTCCCCAAAGGTGCTGAAAAACTTCACTAGCCGGATTTCAACCCATAACAACAGCTAGAAATTTACATTTAAAATCAGTGTCTGACCTTAGATCTATGCTTATAGAAGCGTTTATCTAAATAAACCCACATTTCTAAATCTGAGGGAAAGCTGAAAGACACAATTAAACCATATTGGTTTAGAACGGGATACATTTGCCAGTAGAATGTACTTAAATAGTTTTTTTTTAGCCTTGAAAGTCTGTTTACCCTTGATCATGTTGTTCTTAGATTAAAGTAAAAGAAAAATCATGTAGGAAGCTTTTTTTTAAAAGGATGATGGCTTTAATCTTTAATTCAGCCGCTTGTAGCAGTTGTCTCTCTCGTCTCTTTCTTATTGTGCATCCAGGCTGTGAAGACGCGTGTTTTGATGCTATATTAACAGCAGCGCAGCTATCAGCCGCCTCGGTCAACCACAGACAGATAGAGAGTGGATGACAGTTTGCAGTCAGTCAGTGGGTTAAAAGGCACTTCCTCAGCTTATCTGAGTGTGGAGGGTGTTTGTGTGGGTTCCTGTGGTTTTCCTGTGCGGTTTCAGTTAGTAGTCGCCAACAAAAGGAAGAAGCCAGGAAGGAGGAGGTGTGAACAGACGTCAACAGTGCCGGTCTGAAAGGAAAGAGTTCGAGAAATTAATGAGATGATAAAAAGGTCATTAAAGGGGGAAAAAAAAGGGTGGAAGTTATTCATAAATATGAGCTGGGAGGTTATGATGTCCAACATGGCAGTCCATCCCAGGTTGAGTTTCCACCCAAAACAGGAAGAAACATGACCACCCTGGTTACATCTTCCCTCTGACCTGGCTGCCTGAACCCAGCGACAAATAGACGGAAGGAAAGCTGAGTGTTCGTGCTTTTAGGTAGACGCCTTAGGAAGTTAGTTTCACTGACATCCTGCCCACCTGGAGAGACCGTCTGCGTTCGGTCATGTCAGGTCACGTCTCCCACAGGTTTCCCGCGGCCACCATCATGTTGAGTTGGCAGCCTCTGCATGCATGTGAGCATGGAGGTAAAAAAAATATTAAACGGGCTTTCCCAGCCTCCCAGCGCTGAACCCCTGACCTGGGAACACATCGACAGCTGGGACGCCGACACCGGATCTGTGTTTGGGTTGTCTCTGCTTTGTCCGGCCTGCTGCTGTGCGTGTGAAGCCAAGCGAAACCGCGCACGGCGGGAGAGTGTTGAGCCAGTATGTGTGCGTCTACCGTCTCCCCTCTGACGCTGTGCTTTGTCCTCGTTTTTTTGTTTATTTTTTTCCACAGATCTTCCACGCTAACACAGACCCGGCTGAGGTGGTCCTGAACCGCATCCCGCAGCCACTTTTGGCCCGCTTCGTTCGGATCCGGCCCCAGACCTGGAAGAATGGGATTGCACTTAGATTTGAGCTCTACGGATGCCAGATCACAGGTTAATTTCCTCAATTAATTGTCCTGCTTTAAAGTGTTTTACATTCAAAGCATGGTGATGAATGGAAATATTTTCATGCATACAATTTTTTCCAATTCTGCTCTAAAGTGTTAGAGGTTTTAATGTTGCTGAGTAACAAACTCTGCACACAGGAGCTGCTGCAGTCATAATTAACTGAATATAAGCACTATGTGAACACTGGGCTAAATTATAAAACTGATTTTTTTTACTCCCTTTTACCGTTTAATGGTTTTTTTAGTTAGAACTGTCTACACATGATGCAAATTTGATTAAAAATTGTTTAAAAATAGGATATAAAGTGAGCATTTAGTGTGCTTTATATTCCCAAGGCGATCCTTTAAATATAGCGAGCCTTAGGCTAATTAAGAAGAAAGGGTTCTCTGTTTTTCTATTTTTTTTCTTTTGGAGGAACCACTAAGTGTCATTTTAATTTTCTGATGCTCCTCCACTTCTCCATGCTCTCTTTCTGTTTCCATCTGCTCGAACATGTCCTCCCCCCCATCCCTTCTCCCTCTTGTTTAAAAAAAAAAAAAAAAAGTCTCTTATGGTTAAAAAACTCTTTTTGAAGCTTCCTCTTCGCTCCGTGAGCTCCTGCAGATCGGGAAACGAGTGCTGCTCAATCATTCATGGCTCTCTGTTCGCTCTTACATCAGAAACCGTGATTCAGTTCAGCCTCAACAGCTGCTGCTGAGGCAGCTATTAGCTCCTACAGCAAAGACACAACCTGGTGCTTAAAGGTGACTTCTAAACATAGCCGGTGACCTCAAAGGCACGTGCTCCTTTCCGGAAACGTACGCAAACACGCGCTTATATCCGCCCCTCCTGTGCTTTTTATCCATTATTTACATGGCCCTGCATCTGCAGTGACATAACACTATGAAAGTTTGATTTGTGTTCCCTTAAACCGTCAGCACAACTAACATCTCCCCGAGCTCCCCTTCCTCCCACCCGTTCTTTCTCTCCCTCTGTGTCTTTGTTCCTCTTCTTCAGGCTCTCGCTACCTCTCAGAAGACCCTCCATGCTTATCTGCCACCACAGCTCTCCTCCCTTCCCTCTCCTGCTGTTTTTCCTCTACAGACGTCTCATCTCTACATTTAGTACTCCCTCAAAGCCTTTTTTTTCCCACTTCCCATCCTCCAAGCATCATAAATACCTCTACCTATACTGAATTCCTCCTCGTGTTGCCAGTTACTTCCAATTCCATATGGGATTAAGAGTCTCATTTTGTCGTATTTGACACAGAGCTGTGTGAGTGCTGTATAGTGACAGTAACAATGCATGACCAACATGAAAAGATGCTTAAATGTCATTGTGAGAATTGGGATGTATGAACGCAAAGCGGAGATGGAGTTAGCATGTGCTTTTATCTCACTAATAGGATTCGATGAACATTAAGCAGGACGACTAGAATCTCTGCTTCTATGCTTCCTTCAGTCTGAATCTTAGAGCTTAGAGGCCAGAAGTGCAAACCTGCGGCAGAACTCAACCGCTCCCTTGTGGGAATATATGCAGCAGCGATTTAAGTCGTTGCTGAAACGTCTCCATCGATCGTCTGAAGCTGAAGTAATCTCTTACCTCCTCTTCTTTCCACTCCAGACACTCGGTGCTCGGACCTGCAGGGCTTGATGTCCGGCCTGCTTCCTGATGCCCAGATCTCGGTGTCGTCCAGCAGGGAAGTGGTGTGGAATCCCAGCTCGGCCCGGCTTGTTGCAAGTCGCTCTGGCTGGTTCCCTGCACCTACGCAGCCGCTGGCTGGAGAGGAGTGGCTCCAGGTACCTGATGGTGTTAAGTCCTAGTGTCTATGCATTTGGATTGATTATGTATTTTAGATGTTTTTTGCTTCTGCCTTTAAATTCTTGCATCATTAATCAATTATTAAGGCAGCAAAATATCACAAATATATCAAAAAGTTCAAATATGCAATATTCCAGGAATGTCCAAAGTGTGGTTTTTGTTACCATTTGCAGCCAAAGAACTGATTTTCTTCAGCCTGTTCACCAAATGTTCATAACGCTAAAAATTGACAAAAAAAACCCTAAAATAACCTTCAAGGAAACATTCGATCTACCATTCTTTACACATCCATCTCCTAATGAAAAATCTGACCAATTTTTTTAATTAAAATATTGTAAGCTTATGTTTTATGGTGCAAAACCCATATCCAGAAGCTTTACTCCAATTTTCTGTCAAGGTCCTTTCAAAATATTCAAAAATAAAGGCCACTAGACCCTAAAAACTGCTGGATATACTTTTTCTTGACCCTTAAATACTTTTGACAACATTATTAGTCCAAGGAACAAGATGTTAGGACACTCCTACAACAAAGGACGTCCTACTAAAATAATGTCGGCTTATATATTTCAAGCATTATATTCTGCATCATGCATTCAAATGTAATATTTTGCCAGTTGGACAGAGTTTCACAGCAGCAGATGGCCACACTGGACAAAAAATGACATTGCCTCAAATGCTAAAGGTCACATACTGTAGTGATGGGAACACAGATGACACAAGCAGACGTGAAAATGAGTTAGCAGAGCATGCCAAACAATTGCACACCATCATAAAAACAATTCTTATTACTAAACATGGTGGTGGAAGAACATATTTTTTAATGATTGCAAAAGACCTAAAAGCCTTTAAGTTGATAAACATCTAAACATGGGGAATTTTTCTATGAATGCTGACTCAATGTCAATCATCTAGGTGGACCTCGGTCTTCCCAAGACAGTACGTGGAGTTATAACCCAGGGAGCGCGGGGAGGAGACCCAGGTAGTGGACCTGCCACAGACAACCGGGCCTTCGTCAGGAAGTACAAAGTAGCATACAGCCTGAATGCAAAAGATTGGAACTTCATCATGGACTTCAGGACCAGCCAACCTAAGGTGGGTGGAGAAGGGGAGCTAATGGAAAATTACCTTCTGATGGTTCCTATGCGTGTGAGTTCAGTGTTATATATTTTTGCGCAGATATTTGAGGGGAACACACAATACGACACCCCAGAACTTCGTCATTTCGAGGAGACAGTGGCGCAGTACATCAGGCTGTATCCAGAGAGGTGGTCCCCTGGAGGGATTGGGATGAGAGTGGAGATCATAGGATGCGACCTTCCAGGTAGGACGTCTTTCTTCTTCTGCTTGTGAGACTGCAGATCCGGCAGAATTTGAATAATTTTCCACCCTGCACTGACTTGAATGATCGAAGCATAGGCAAGGCTGAATGCATATTAGATATGCATGAGAGTCATTAGAGGCGGCCTGAGGTGAGAAGAGACAGAAGATTTACTGGGAAACAGTAAGGAGGCGATAATACTGTGAAACACTCCGATTTTTTTAACCATTCTACTTGAAGGAGTCGAGTTCCTTTTCGCTGAGTTTCTGCACGCCAAACGCTCAACAGGGATCTGAACAAGGTTTGGTTTACAGGAATGTATCTCCAGCAAGTGAGAGCGCCGGTTTGTTCACTTTCCAGCATGGTCTGTTGGCCAGATGTGATCTTTGTGCTCCGTCGGAGACAAACACACTCTCGCTGACATACACACTAACACGGTTACCGTTTACCACTCCCTCTGCTGCGCCTGAACAGGGCAGCTCCACACGCACAGAGCCGGACACATATTTACCAAACAATCCGCAGAGCAATGAGCGGGTCCATATGCGTTGACTGGAATTAAAGGTGCTTTTCATCAGGGGCATTTAGGCTTGTTTGTATCTTTTGCATCTCCTTTAAAACCTGTTTGGACAGAGAAAACTTATAACCATGCACAGGCATGTGATTATTTTTCTACAACCGTTTTTTGGAATAATTCTAAGGTATCTTGCAAAAGACTTTCCAGTCCTCAATGCTGAAGTTTATGTGACAGACTGCTGGTGTGCACGCAAACAAAACATGTGTCTGAACTCGATACGGTGGTGGCAGCATCATGTTTTGGGGATGCATTCCCTTCTACAGGGACGGCGATACTTGACGTAGATGAACGATGGTATGGAGGTAACAATGGGGCAGTCTTAGGTGAAAAAGCGAGGTTAGCAGATGCTCTCTGTCCATTCTGACAGAGATTTGGCATTTTGCAAGAAAAGATGCTCTAAAAATAACATAATAAATACAAATACATGCAGAACTATCAGTTTTGTATTTGTAAAGCTGTGTTCTTTTTTTTTTTAAGATGATTTGTGCAACTTTGTGTTGTTTTATAACCTAGAATCCCAAATACGCCGTTCCCTCCATAAGTCTTGCAAAACACAGGAAACAATGTGTTTTACATTAACTGCTGACTGATGAGTGAAAGAAAATAAAAAAAATGAAACAAAAACCCCCACCAGGCAGGCAGGAGCAAATTAGATCAACAAACAGGAACCAGAAAGTTGGAAGACAAAATGAGTTGAACAGAGGTTTACATTCAGGAGAGGGACTAAAGGCTTTGGTTAAATGTGGCATGCAAAACTTATGTTAACAATATTATAACTCAGCTGGGATAACGGAGTGCTGCTGACATCCTGTGACTCATTCATTTCGCCTTCAGCTCACACCACTCGCTGACGTCTGAAACAAACGTACTTCTCCCTCCATCCAGACCATGTTTTAACATATCATCCAGCCACTGCAGTCAGGCTGGATGAGTTCCCTCTCCCTCCTCTGTGCACATGGTTATAGTCCTTTCCTTTCCCAGCCTGAGGCCCGGTGCGTGGGTCTGTAAATGTTTTTCTTCTTTTTTGGTTACCATGCCTTGCCTGTTTTCCTCTCCTTCCCATCCTTCTCCTGTTACTCATCATCCATTGTACCTTTTTTCCATGCCCCTGCACTGCTGCCTCAGACGCCGAGCTTTTTTTGTTTGTTTTTAGCTTGCATACTCCTTGAATCAAATATGTGTAACCTCAGGAATGCGAATACGTAGGGAGAAAATCAGCATTTTCTAGGAGACCTCACACATCCATGACCACACCTATAATTTAAAACTTGTCGCGTCTTAGCTTCAATATGGGCCTCTGCTTCCTTTTTAAATCCCACTTAATGCAGCAAAGCTCAAAAAGCTATACCTCTCTCCTTTAATTGGTGTTTATATCATGACTGAAGAACGATTCCCAAAACAATGCGCCATTTTAGAAAGTGCATTGAAACTAAAGGAAGAGTTCTGCTTCTTTGTCTGCATTTTACATCTAAGAATAAAACCAAAAATCACTTTACCGACATGCAAGACAAATTTAGAATAAAAAGAAAATATGACAGTATTTACGTCTGTTAATGGAATCTTTAATGATATAAAAACAAAGAAAGAAAACATTTTAGGGGAACATTTGCTGTACAGGAGTGGTACGATCTTTCTAGGAGGAGCCTTGTGTCACATTTTTTACTTTTTTTTTATTCTACACAGATATATCCGTACTTCACGGTGGGTAGATGTCGTATGGGGAGATATTTATTTCATAAATTCCATATTGGCCTGATGAAAAATGAGAAACATGGAAACAGAAGCTTGTTTCTAAGAAACAAGATTTCTAGACTTGCTAACTTTCCATCCATCCATCCATCCATCCATCCATCCATCCATCCATCCATCCATCCATCCATCCATCCATCCATCCATCCATCCATCCANCTTTCCATCCATCCATCCATCCATCCATCCATCCATCCATCCATCCATCCATCCATCCATCCATCCATCCATCCATCCATCCATCCATCCATCCTTTTATCTTATTTCCTTTTACAAAGATTAAAGTTGACCCTTTTTTTCCCAGTCGGAGTCAGAAACAGTTTTCTTCTTTCAAATGGAGAACACTTTAGGGATCCAATGGTTTATAGGGAGTAGTAGGTTAAGTGACAGAAACATAGCTGCACTGTAGCAAAATGTGTGGTGATGAGCCAGTAAAGCTCGCCCCTACTTCTTTTTCTCATTTGGTTCCTCTGGGATAGGACTGTGTACCCATCTATCAGAGTGTGACTGTGCCAGGGACAGATTTACAGAAAAGCTTTCTACATAATTAAGATTTTATTTTTCTTCCTCTTCTGACATATTGCTGAGTCATATTCATTGAGAGTGAGCTATGTCTTTCAGTGCAGGACTGCATGCTCTTTGTGTGTGTGTGTGTATGTGTGAGAAAGAAAAGGTTCAGGTGTAAAAACTGGAGAAAACCGAGGAGGCATGTGTGCATGACTCTGCATTATCCATGTCAGCTTCTCCCCTGAGTCCAGCTTCAAGAGTTTGGAGCCTCATCCTGCAGAATGATGATGACTTGCGTCACCACCTGCAGCTCAAAACACGTTATGTCAGCCAGCGCTCTGCCGCAGAGGGACTTTTCCTGCATTATTAGGTCTCTCAGCTGCACTGCACTCGGACACATTGAGCACAGTGCTGGAGGCGAGGGAGGCAGGTCACATACGTTATCACACATTCTGTCTTTCTCAATGTGCACGAATGCACAAGTCATTCCCGTTGGGCTGGACGCTGCTGTCACAGCCCAGAAAGGTCAGCCCATTTACGCCGTGACAGGGCCTGACCTTTGAAAGCACCGAGTTCTTGGGAATCTTAATGGACTCTATCGAGTGTCTGCATGTACGTTTCTTAGCGTTCAGTTGTGCACACAGGTAACACAGGTGTTGGCTCTTGGTTTATTTTAACATCCTGTCCTGAGAATTTAACTCAAAGGTCAGAGTGGAATAAAAAGGGAAAGCAAACATCGATGGAAGCGGGAGACGGAAAGACGCTAACTTGCAAGAGAGTTGCTTTTCCTTGCCTTTACCTTCCCAGCAGCGATAAGCGTCTCATTAGGTGGAAAATGACTGGCATAAAGGACATGACATTAACGCTGGGTTAATGTCAGAAGCCGTCGCCAGCTGGGACCGACCCCTTTCATGTCTGCCATTTGTCCAGCTGGGGCAGCGCCCCACTCATCTCCAAACCGATCGGTTGTCTATCACATTGTGTTTGCTTTCCATAGCTTTTAAATGGTAGTCACAAGGAGAGATGAAAGATCCCCAGCAGGAGGCTGGAGTAGTGGCACTAACAGGCGTTTCGGCTTGGTAAATCAGTGCGACTCTGTTCTCTCTCACATGTTTGGTGCGCCTGTTTTCCCTTTGAAACCCGTCTCACATGAGCTCATCAGGAATCCAGGCCTCAAAGTTTTTTGGATCATCTTAAGTGAGACAAAGCAGGGAAAGCTGACAAAGGAGTATAAAATGGAACAAGCTCAAGAATCCACTTTGACGTCGATGTCAAAAGATGTTTCTGGTTGAGCGACAGCAATGCAGAAAAACAGTTTGAATATGTTTCTAATTGTTTTATGCTGCAGACATTGGAGGAAGAAAAAGCGCTTACACAGTTTGTTCACTTGATAAATGTGATGCTTTTGTTGAGACCTGACCCCAAAACTTCTGTGTAATCACACCAAGGCTGACCCATCTGCTCCTAATAACACTCCCACTTCACATTCCGGCTGCAGCCTGCTGCACATGTGTGTCGTTGTGCACATTTTTTTGTTTTTTAATGTATAAACTGTGGCCTTTTTATGCCTTGAAGGTTTAAAAACCCACTACCCTCATTTAAAAGCATAGGAAGACATGGAAACTGAAAATAATTCAGGCCATACTTTGGTATGTTTGGTCACTACCTATAGTAATGTGAATATTTGTGGATTAATAACCCTTTTGTAGATTTCTTTAAGGAATTTTAACAGCAGACAAAGATAATCTGAGTAAATGGAAAAGAACAGTTCATAATTTTATTGATTCAAGAACATTAAATCTAATTAAACCATCCTGGACCTACATAATAAACTGTGCTTTAGTTTCATTTTAATAGAGATAAGCAAGTGCGATTGCTTTAGGGCTTCTGTATTTGTCACATAGGGAAAGGTTGGTTTGGAGAGACGTTTTATTTTAACAAATGAAATCACCTTATTTGATCAAGATATATTTTTGTCCATTTTAGAACATATTTGACCTACATTTAGAGGAGAAAAATTTAAAAAAAATTTTTAACTCCTTCCAGCCAATAAGAGGCGCCTGCCTGCTCTCATTCTATTAGGCTATGTCTGAATGTCCACCCTAATCACTATATAGGGCACTATGTATTGATTATAATATTTTAAATGAGTGTCCGAACATCTAGTGAATGAAAAGTAGTGGACTCAAAATTTTCCACGATGCACCTTAAAAAGTAGTGATCATCTGTCCGGTCGATTAATGGTCAGTTAACTGAGTTTAATATAAAGTCCACTATATATTCCCTGCTCTATATAGTGATTGCGGGATTTAATGGTTAGGGCAGACGTTTGGACACAGCCCTAGTGTTTGCCAGCCAGTCTAAGGTGAGCTAGTGGTAATGCATCATTTAACTTACCAATTTTTCTTACCAGAAAAAGCGGCAAGCTTGACATGCCTTCTAAGCCCCTTTACTCGTGGAGGTTGGCACAATCACTCAATAGCTGCACCGATCCTTTCCCTTCGTTTTGCTTCTATTTAAAGAAGCCAATTCTGAAATCTGTCATGAAGCTACCAGGATCTGCAAACACCTGAGTTCTGTCTAACTTCACTTCAACCTACAGTTCCCATTGGTGCAGAATCCTTTCGTAATGATGTTAGCATCATAACCAGATCTAAATATTTATTTGGGCTGCAACAATTATTCTACTAATCAGTTAATGTCAAATATTTTTTCAATTAGTAATCGGATAGCAAAAGGAAATTTTTAAGGAATTAAACCAATTGAAACTAAAACTTTTCCTCTTGAGGAATTCTGGATAGAGCATATTGACAGATGTTTATTCATTTTTTTACAATTTTGATGCAATCCCTGCTCTAAGTTGGGCGTTCTGTTCTCTAAAGGTATGTTTTTGAGTCTCTATACTCCATTTAATGATTAATTGATTATTAGTTGTGGTTATTTCAATCATCGATTAATCCGATTAAGTGTTTCAGCCCTAATATTTATACATTTTGAACCAATCAAAAAATATAAAACAACAATTTTAGTACTTTTTCAGTCAAATAAACCTGTCTTTTTTTTCACAACTCTAGGCATTCTGTACACAATTCACGTTAGAGTAGGTGCCCCACATTACTTTAGCTCTCCTTCTCTCTCTGCTCATTTAATGCCTGGTTCCTGCAAAAAAAAAAGCCCTTTTAAAAGAAGCAACCCACACATTTCAAAGACATGACATGTTCCACAAAATCCGCTTCATATCCTCAGATTTAGACCCACATGTTTTCCAATGCACCAGCATGCATGACAAACAGGGAAGCAGTGAAACAGCAGGTTTACATTCACTTTCTCTGCCCACCCTTTGTCCATGTGCATGGAAGTTGAAGACTTGAACAAACATCTAAAGACAGTGGAATGTCGAAATGAGCATCTGTTTATAAATGTGTGTGCTACAGCCATGCTGACTCGGCTCAGTTTGTGATCATCCCATCCAAGGTCGAGGGGAGTCGGTCCATCCGTCAGCTATACTGTCAGACGTGTGTGTCTGTGAGTGTATGCACATTTAGGCCAGTGTGTGTCTTAGACAGATTCTGACGCCTGAAATCGCAGACAAAACATGACAGGGGCCCTCTCGGGTGTTTTGGAGGCTTTCTGTTCCTTCATGCTTCTGGCAGGAGACAAAAGCGGGAGTCTTTTGCAGTTAAAGCAGATGCTAAAATTGCTGTTTAGAGCTGCTTTACAGCACATATTTACAGCCCTTTAAACTTAAACAGGGGTTCAAGTTTTAATTGCTGCTGTCTGTAAACATGGGTTGAGTTTGGTGACTGATATATATCCTGTAGATTCTGTAGACTGAATAAAACATCTAGAAAACTCTGATCAGCTTCATAAAGAACATATACAAAAATGCTGCCATTATTTAAAATGATTAGTGAAAGTAAAATGTTCAGTTAGATGATGCTGCTGCAGTAAGAATGAACAAACCCAAAGTCTCAAAAGTCAAAGCAAGTAGTTGTAAAAGAGTTTCATATTTGTTAAACAGAAAAAAAAAGTAAATTCTCACATTTAAAACAATAATCCATCATGTTAAGCAAATCTTTTTTATTGACGTTGTTTTCTGTCTGACAAAATCAGGCAAAAAAAAATGGATTTTACAAACTTGACCCCAATGTTTGAAGGTATAAAATGCAGAGTGATGCGTAGTTATTAGGGTTTTTATAGCGATAAGTAGGTGCCGTCGTTTTGACTCTACATTCGAAGAAAGCAGTAGAGGCGTATGATTTCCGTTCTTAACCATCCTGATCCCGGTTTTTGTTCTGTGTTTCCCTGCAGAAATAAGCACCCCAGTAGACACCGTAACACCGACTCTACCTCCCAGTCCAGAAACCACCACAGTCCCCATCACCACTTCAGGTAACAGCCTCCCATTTAGGATTACTGGTCCTTTTAATAAGGGCTTAATTTCATGATAACAAATGCATATCCTATTGCTGATCTGACTCTGATATTTTTGTTTTCCTTCCTCACGGTTCCAGCAACAGCCACTTCTCCCTCCTCTATTGGCGTCTGTGATTTTGACCACGGTCTGTGCGGATGGACACACGACCCCAGCGCCCCGCTGTTCTGGTCGCTGCACAGACATGGTGAGTTTCCCTAGATTTCAAGTAAAAGGTTTAAGAACACACTTCCAAAAAAAAATGCATTAAATATATTATATATATTACAGAACCTGGAAATACAGAATTACACTCAGTTTCTCTGCTACCTAGTTGATTAGTTGGGCTTTTTTCCCACGGTAACCACACATGCAACTCGTACAAAGTACAAACTGCTGTTAACATCATGACCTGTTATGGTTCATGACCAGAATGTAGTCATAGGCAGCCGGCTTTTTATCTCTTGAAATTGAGGCCCTGTTTCAGCAAGCTGACTGGCAGTCCACACCATCATCTGAAAGGGACAATGGTGGCTTAAGATGTAGGGGTTCATCCTGTCGCCAATAGTTTGCTGGTTTCAACCTCTGCTTGATCTGTCTCTGTCGTTTTGTTGTTGGGTGAAACACTTCAGCTGCCTTACTCAGGGCCCTGTCAGACCATGGCGATTTAGACAACGTGTGCCTGACGTCCCAGAATCTTCTAAAACGCTGGCATACGCTAAACTTTCTATGTATTTTTTACATTTTGGGCGTATACATGGTGTATTTATAATGAGTCCAGAGCGTATATACGTCGACAGCCTAACTTATGCATAACGTATGGCAGCATAATGGCAATGAAATGTAACAAGCCAGTGGGGGTCCTGAGGGGCCCGGTCTGCATAAAAAGATGTCTTTGATCGCAATATTAACCTAGCTGCTGTTTATCCCCACCCATATAAAAAAGAATAAAGAAAAAGAAAGAAGGTTTTCAGTCGCAGCAGATTCAGCGTCATGTCTGCTAGGTAGTTTGTTGGTCGTGGGTGTCGGCGTGAACGCAGCGGGGATCCATCACACTCACCTTCATGCTCACCCTATGATGGGGATGCAGTCTGGAGGAGAACTGACGGTTTCCTCCTCTGAACCCCCTTTTATACCAAAACGCTGCCAATACCCCGTTAAACAGTAGCTGTAAGTTAGAAACACGTTCAGGAGTCGTCTGGAACACGCCAAATATGTTGATATGCGTTGGAAATAAGTTACGGATAAGTTATGCACAAGTTACTCATAGGTTTCGGATAAGCTACACACCAAGACTTATGAGTAACTTACACTTAAAATATGTAAAAGATCACATAACTTCCTATAATTTATGGAAATTATGTACGCATGGCATACGCTGTTATACGTCAAGACGTACTTGCCATATGTAGACGTGAGCCAGCACGTTTCAGTGTACTTTAGCGTGCATCAGCATGATCAAAACTTATACAAAACTCCCCCAATAACTTATCCAACATATGTCAGCGTTTTTGCCAGATTTTTCGCACATTCAGGCATATAATGTCATATGATGATAAATCGTCAAGGTGTGGCAGGGGCTGCAGCTACGATGCAGCTTGCCAAAATCAGCAGGTGAATGTGTGATTGAATCAATGTAGCGCAAAGCACTCTGGGGTCCTTGGACTTGATAAAGCGCTATATAAGTTTAGTAGCAATTTAGCATATAATACTGGCAAAGATTTAAAATGGCTTTCATCCCCGCTTCCAAGTGAAAATGACTTCAGATTGTTAATATGATGAAAATGCTATGACTTTGACTTCCAGATAGAATTAAGAGAGTCCTAAAAAAATGTCTTGGGATGCCATCATTTGTACTCAGATGAAAATATTGTGTATGCATGACTTAATTGATGTCCATTTTAGGAAAAAGGCCATGAGGTTTTCTTTTTTATGTGTGAAGGAAGAAATTAACAGGCAAATCCAAACAAACAGCTGTTAAATTGTTTGGGATTCAACTTATGATTCAAGGTCTGAAACTGAGAGGAAAAACTTTAAGCTTGGGATTTTAATATTGCTACCAAATGAGAAGTGAAAAGTCAATATATATAAAGAAACAGTAATGTTCCATCTTGTAATTCACCTCCCTAAAGTGCTGAATAACTGAATATTCCTGCCAAGACTCCCAGCCTGAGTACAATCAGTAAACATTTCACCTCTAAAATTCATTGTGGTATTTGATGATTCTCTACATCAGCTGAGAGCTTTTTATGCATGTAACTGCAGGGAGGATTTTATTTGTGTGGAGAAAATTGCACCAGCGCAAATGCATTAAGTTTATCAACTTCTGTGGGTCCAGACAAAGCGCTGTTCTCCACAATTAAATGGAGTCATTCTCCCACTGCGTCTTCATTCAGTCGCTTTTTTCAATTTGATTAAAATAATTTTCTTAAATTGAAACCAGTCTAATTTGGCGGCAACATTGTCTGCCAGCCCTGCTGCTCACCAAGGGTGTTAAAATGAAAATGAACCGAGGCAATCAAGAGGAAACACACACTGCGGCTGTTTCAGGCATCGACATACATCCTCTTATGACAAACAGGCTTATTTAGTTTTAAAAAGCTTAGCGGGAAGAGAAGAAGTCCAAAGAAGCGTAGATATTCCCAAACGTTAGGTTAGATTCCCATCTTATGATGCTGTGGAGAAATCCATCTATTTAGACACTTCCTACTAAAATGAGTTTCTGCTTTATGCATAAGGGAGGATCAAAACTACAGCATAAGAATAAAATACAAATCTAGAAGCGCATGCTTTCATAAACCCTCTTGCATCTCAGAAAAGTACACAAGGATCGGCCAGGATGAGAGGCTCCCTCAAGGTACCCCAAGTGTTTTTTTCTTTTTCTTTGCTCAAATCTATACGTTTCCCGACAGTATTTCTTAATTTGCCTCCATTAACTGTTTTAACTTATGTTTTTATTTCTCCCATGTCCCTTTGTAATCGTACAACTATTCTAGCAGAGGTGGGTAGAATACTCAAAAAAATGTTACAAGTAAAAGTAACACTACTTTGTCATATTTTTACCGAGGTATTTGTTTAAAAAAGTACTCAAGTACTGAGTAAATGATCATAACATCTGTTATTTGAAATCACTTAATAATGGTATTTAAAAGACTATAATAAGATAATTAGATAATTAGAATTTTATCTTTCCTAAACCATTTTTCATAACTTTGGGGGAGGAAAAAAGAAGTGTTAATTTGTGATAAAATTAGCTTAAAAGCACAAAAATATATTCAATTTAACTCAGGTACTCTATTAAAAAAACATTTTATTAGCTTTTTAAGAAAATAAAATATCTAATTTTACACGTGTGACATTTTAAAGGGGCATAGTCATGTTATATGTTTTTTAAACTGGATTTTTGACTATTCTCCATAATTTTTTCACTACTATATTGGGAGGTGCTTACTTGCTTGGCTTCATTGCTTCCTTGTTTCCCCTTTATAGGTGCAGTATATTACAGTTTTTTAAGTGCTATTGTTATTGTAAATATACATGAAGGGCTTTATTTACCAAAAACCAAGCATGAAGCACAAAAATAATAATTAATATGCCAACGGGAGGCAGTAATCTAACAAAAAACCGCATCCAGAGGGAGCTACTGGTGTTTAAATGTAGAAAATTACGAATAACGTTCTCCTTTAACTGTTTTCAAAGGCTCTTAAAAGTCATTAATTTAACTTACTAGAACCTGAATCTTTTTTTCACCAACGTAACACACTTAAAAGCATAGTACTGTTTAGTTTGGAATCATTAACCTTTTTGGAATCTTAATATTTCTTGATAGCAGTTACTGTCCTTTGCCTAATCTCACAGCTCCTGAGGCGTGACGTGTTCGGCTTGTATCCGAGGGCTTCAAAGCGCCTTCTTTCATCACAGGCAGATCAGGAAGGGTTGCACAGATTAGCCAGGTTTTGCCTTTTATGTTGGAAGTATCATTTCCAGCCGTTCAGACACGCCATACGTGCCTTTGATTTTCCTCCTAATGTCAAAGGTCAGAAATTTCTGCCAGAGAAGGATCATTATTTCACCACTATCAAATCACCGTTTAATCCTCTGTAGAGCTCCTTTTTCCCCTGTGACCCAGAAGCCACAAACTTGTCACCTTTCGACCTCCAGCCATGAAACGAGTAATAAAACTAGAATTAGCCATGTGGATTATTTTGCATTCTGATGCTTTCCTTGTAAAAAATGTGGTAACAAACCCCCTCAGTTTGAGTCATTGTCTCGCATGGCAGCAGATAAAATGGTGAAATAGATTTTTAATGCCTTTGTAGGGCAAAGCATGCCACCTTCCCCTAGGCAATGTTGTGCCAGTTCATAATTAAAAAAGAACTAGCTCAAAGTTCAGTTCACACATATGAAAATGAACTTGCTCACATTCATAGCTCACTTTTTAAAAGATGAAGTTCACAAGTTCACAAACCTATGAATGAACTAGTTCAAGTTCATTTGGTAAATGAAGCCACAATTCTACACAATAGAACCTCTAATTCCCCCCTTTAAATATGTGATCATGATATATATAGAAAGAAATGGGAAATACTCGATATTTCCCAAGATTGCTTAGATGCTTTAACTCTTAACTCTTGAAGTGGCCGTGGTTGATACACGGACTTGGTGGGCACAGTTTGCACAAAAAATTGAGTTTTTTTCTGTCTGAATCTTCCTTTGTTAGTTCATAAACTCTGCCAAGCGCTCTGCAAAACTGATGGAAGTTTTGCAGAGCTGTTTGCCATAATAGGTGCTGTAAAACCTGACGTTATCCGATCAAAAGTGTCGTTATCAACTGAATGTGAGCGTGATGTTCACTCTCAGAGTGTAATTACTTCAAAACTGATCAATTCAGTTCACCATCCACTAAAAATATAAACCTATTCAGTGCACGTCGTTCATTACCTGCGTGCATGCACAACCTTGCCCCTAGGTCTGGAAAAGAAACAGGCTAACATTAGGAAACCTAAGCAACTAAATAGTTGCATCAGGTGCTTGCACTGGATTTTATATGGGCTGTGTCCGAATGTCCGCCCTGATCACTATATAGGGCACTATATGGTGGTTACACCATTTTAAATGAGTGTCCGAACGTCTAGTGGATGAAAAAGTAGTGGACTCGAAATTTCCCACAATGCACCTTGAAAAGTAGTGATCATCCATGGTCACTGGAGGAGCACAAATTTAGGGGTTATGGTAGACGTTCGCAGACAGCCCTGGAGTTCTTTCAGATTTTACGTGCAAAAATTTTTTGAACCAGTAACCAAGAGTAATATAATCCTTTATAGAGCACTGAGGATGCCTCAGTTCAGCTAAAATGCACACGTACACATTCACTCCAGAGTTGCAAAGGGCCATGGGACATACTGTCACAGTCACAGCATGGAAAGTGTCAGAAACAGGCGACTCTGACCGTATGGTGGGCAGCAGCGGGGGGGGGCTGTCAGATTCCAGACAGATTTGTTCCCCCCAGATACAGCGTGTGTGATCTGATGGCAAGCCGCTCAAGAAAAAGTCCAGTCTGAATCAGCGCACCTGAGCGTCGCCGCGCCGCTGAACAAGACAAGCTATTATTCTCTGATGCCAAGCAAACAGTGGAAACTCACACCCTTAGACTGATTCTGTAATCTGCTTTTATGCTACCTATTCTTTTTTTTTTTTTTCGGGCCCGGAAGGACTCCAGCGGCACATAGACAGTTGCTCATGATGAAGCAGGTGATTTAAAGCGCAGATTGTTGATGCTGGACATTTTTCCCAGCGGGCCCACTTAGGAAATTCTCAACAGAGGCACTAAGGCTCACACACATATGCATTCAATCTCTTTTCTCATACAGTTGGCTCCGCTCGTCTTTCACAGCACAATCCTTGTCGGCGTCCAATTCCAAAACTAAACATCCTCTGGTGTAAACAAACTGAGTGGTGTGGTAAGGCTTCTTTTGTGGCTAAAGGAGTTACCTGGAAGGGGAACAAGAGTCTTGGCTCAAACTTCATGTATGAATGGTCTTCGTTATTCTATTCTTTATTGTGTTTATATTTGTCATACCCCTATTGTTCCTTGTGTCCATTTAGCAGCAAGGATCCTGTTCCTGTTAGAAGCTAGCCACTTAGCTTCTTTTTGTTTGACATGTCATACCGTGTAAAAACACTCTACGAGTCGACAAATGTGGGGAAGTCGGTTCTTATGTGGAACAAGGATGATTAATAGTAGAGATTGTGGGATTAAATACATCCTTCATTCACACGTGTTCATTTACAGCTGATATAAACTGTACGGTTGAATAAAAGGAAATCCTGTGTACCAAAAAGTAAATTTAATTTGGATGCCTTTCTGGGGCTTTGTGAATTTTAATAGAGTTTCTTTCTTTTCAGCGCTCAACAGTTACCTGTACCTGGATGTGAGCATGAAGACGGAGCAGCAGCGGGCTCGGCTCGTCAGCCCCGTTGTGCCAGCTGACGCCGGGCCCCTCTGCCTACTCTTCTCCTACCAGATGTGGGGGGAAGCCAAGGGCCACCTGAGGATATTTGTGCGAGACAGCCTTAACGACGAAAGCCTCCTGTGGTCGCTCCATGACAACCACACCACCGTCTGGAGAGAAGGCCGGACCATCGTGCCACGCTCCCCAAAAGAATTCCAGGTAGCGAATGATTGATGAATTTATGAATTTAAACAAAAAGGGAGTCAGGTTTATGAAATCAAAGAAATTCATTTTTTGGGTCTGGGGGAAAAAGAAATAAAGTATGCTAAATTTTTCTCCATCCTCAGCAGCTGAAAAGAACTAAAGCATTATTGCAAGTGCTAAGTGCACCATATTAACTTTTCACTCCTCCTGCTTTTCTGTTTTCTCTATTTGCCTCCACCCTCGCCTCCACCTTACCTTCATCTTATCACTGTCTCCTCTCTCATGCATTTTCCCATTTCTTTCCTGTCTTTCTTTGCCTCCTAGGTTGTGATAGAGGGTTTCTTTGAGCACAACACCAGAGGACACATCTGGATAGACAACATCCACATGAGTGCAAGCTCACCTCTGAAAGAGTGCACAGGTAGGTCACATAACGCTTTAGGAGGCCAATTTGACACTTCAGATATAATCAAACATATAGGGCAAGAACCTCCATCATCAAACCCCCAGGTTGCCAATTCTGATTTTCCCTCTACACTTCAGTTTCACAACAATGAATTGCAAAGCAATCACACACTTTCACTTCTTTTTTTTTTAAAACTTTACTGTTTTCTACTGCAGCTTTATTATTTCCACTACAGAAAATTGAAATCTAAGTAAATTCTTTAATAATATAAGTGCATTTTTTCTTGAATTGAGCAGGTAAGTGAGACACTTTGCCAATAGAATATGACAATTTACATCTAAGATGAGAAAAAACAACTGAAGTCTCTAATTTCAAGTGCATAATATCTAATTATCTTATGTTAAGGGTAAAAATACTCATTCCATTGGAAGATCATCTTACTTACCTTCCTAAATTGAGGTTAAATATGCTTCTTTTAAGATATTTTTTGCAGTGTAGTCCTTTGTCTTTTTTTGCCAAAAAACAGGGAATAGATGGGAGAGAATTTGGCAGAGCCCATAAAACCCTTGATTTGTGCTGAGGCTACCCTTCCAACAGGAATATCACCATAAACACACAAGAATAATTTAAATTAGATATGAAAGAAGCCCGTTCATTTTTATGTTTGTAGCTGTACTCCATATATGAACAAAAGGCCTGATTTATCTCATTATTCATGTCTAGGTCCTGCAGGAGCCTGCTAATAACCTTTTTTTATTATTTGGGCATCTTCACCAATGGAAACACCAAAACCCTGAACAGAGAGGCTTAAAAGTGTCCCCATATAGTGTTGATAACGTTTATGGATGTAGTCAAAGTCCAGAGAAAAATAGAGAGGAAAATCTTTGCCATGATTTAAAAACTGATGAGCATAAACCGCTCTATGATCTGCAGAACTGGCCTGGACAATCCCCCCAAAAAATGGTGAATGAAAGATGATTCTGCAGATTTCTGACATCATATGCATGCCACACTTTTCAGATTACCATCTAAGAAACAAAAAAAAAAGCAAAACAATGTAAGATTTTATTTCCACTTAATGATTTGCCACTTTGTGTTGGTCTATCATAAAATCTAATTAACATCTAATGAGGTTTCAGGGAGCAGCGTTAAAAAGTTCTTGTTTTACATTGTACAAGGATAAAAGAAAAGTTTTTATGCAAAGTATGGAAAGCCTTTTAGCCGCGAGGTCCTTGAACACTGATGCGCATAAGGAGGTAAACACTTTAAAGTACTCGCCCTCCCATCCAAGTCTCTTCACCAAAGAGCCCAACAACTACAGAGATAAAAAGGAGGGAGAGAGAAGGAGGGAGGGACGTCGTTTACTTCTTCAGTAAAAAGAAAAAGAAAGAAGAATAGGAAAAGTAGGCCATAAATACCCCGTGGGTCTCAGAGATGCTAATCTATGTTTCATTAGATTTTTCCTCTTCCTCTCCCCTCCATCTATCTCTCTTGCACTCTCTCCTGTCATATTTGTAAACAGAGCTTTCCTTGAACCGTCAAAGGGAATTACTAGAGAGGCTGTTTCCCAAGCAAGCTTTGGGAGTGTAGGGCGGGAGCCGAGCACAACCATAGCCGCCTTAATCTGGCCCAAGCAAGGGCTTCAGAGAGGGTCTTAAACAGATCAGAGAGCAGGCTGCAAGTTCAAAGTCGGAAGTCCTGCCATCGTATCCTCAGAGCTGGCTTCTCAGGTGGACTAGTGTGTAATTAAAGGAAAGCAGCTCTGCTTTTAGATGCCTTTTCCTCCGTTTGGAGCCATTTTTTTAATTCTTAAATGTGCCATGAGAGTCCTGAGAGAGTCTGTTGCTCTACAGCTTATGACAGTCCTGCCTTCACTGCCTCCTGTTTTCCTTACTTCCTCCTGCCGCTCTCATGGCATGCTGGGATGTTTCTTATCATATAACACAATAAAAAAAAAAAAAGCAGAAAAAAACTTGTTTCCAAGTTGTTTTCCCACCGTTCTTCCACTTTCAAAGCTCTCTGAGACCCACACAGCTCCATCTTTTTTTTTCTGTTTGCATTCCAGACAATCAAAAGTGAAGGTTCTGCTCTGTTAGTTTACAGCAACCCAGAACCTCCCAGCCTGCTCCAGTTTCAGTAGACACCACGAGTAAACACACTCCCATAGCCCACACACACTCCCCTTCAGCACAATCCCACCTTCTCACAACCAAAGTCATGTCATGGAAGAAATTGCATTCCCACTAAAAAGCTCAGTAAATGCCATAATTCACATGAGATATCAGAGGAATTTCATTAAGATAGTGTTGTGACATTTCTCTGACATTTTTCTTTCATATTAAAGTAATCTAACAGGTTTTCTTTTTTTTCTGTTCTTGTCTCAATCTTTTTTCCTGTCCACGCAGAGCCCTTCTCGGCGTTTTCTCCAGAAAATTCAGGTGAGTTTGTGTTTTTTCTTGAGGATGTTACTTCCTAGATCTGGTCTTGCTTCCTGCCCGTCAGAATGCATCAACCCTGGGGGAGGGGGTTCGCTTTGATTGTATTAACTGCATAAGTAGAGATTACAGGGTGTGGGAAAAGTCTAAAACGTCGCTTAAACATTTTCATATTTTGTCACATTACAGCCACAGACAGTGGTGGCGGCAGTTTCATTTTGTGGGGATGTTTTTCTCCATTCCGGACAGGAAAGTTGATATTTCAACTGGCTTTAAAACAAGACAATCCTGAAAGAAAACCAGTTTGAGACTGAAAATGAATGCAGATTACAGATAAAATTGCAGTAAAATGCGGATCTATAAAGATTAAAGGGAATAGATACAAATACATGTCAGGTTTTTTAACATCAAGCTCAACTTTCTTTTTGTTCTGCATATAAAATTCTCCAAAAATACATTGGCGTTGCAATGTGCCGAAACGTGGTCAAATCCAAGGGGTTTTTATACTTTCTGTAATCTGGCCTAGAAGCCTTTCTTTACTGACATTACAGTCTGTTTGTCTAGAGTGAACTAATTTGCATTTATTAAATCAGCAGCCACATGTCAGTAAACTATCTCTAAACTATTTACTAAAATCACAAAGATCACATAAAAATAAAAAAATATATGCTATCTTCCTAAATTTACGGAACGCTGCAGAACTGTTTGCAAACTCAGATTGCAAGGCAGGCAAAATCAAACCCACCTCATGTAGTCAGGTATTTGAAAAGGGCTTCCGATTCCCAGGATACAACCTGGAGGGATTTAATAAATCTATGCCTCGTGAAAAATGTTTTGAGCATCTGAGGGAAAGAGGGAGGGAGGTGTCTTTCAGATTGATGCAAGTGTATCTGCACCTCTAATGCCCTCTAAGATGCAGGCTTGTCTGGGTTTTACTGCAGAATGTGATGCGTGTGCATTTCCCCGGCTTTCAAGCTCCCATAAAAAAAATACCCTAACCCTCGACAAGCGTGCACGGGCGCTGGCGTTAATATCACCGCACACGGCGGTATTCCCAGCGGTGTGCAATCAGATAGAGTGACTGAGCAGCGCCGAGCGCGGGTACCTCCACTCCGTTCTGCATTTTGAGTGTGTGTGGTGTGAAGTAGCAGGATCACGCATCATTTCCCCCTCTGTAATTATGTGACACGGTCCAACAACCAGGAAGTATTGAGCTCTGCTTCATAGTCTCTGTTCAGTTCACGTGGGTACTAGTTTATTCACATTCCTAAATCTCATCTGGGTTTTATTTCAGCTGTCTTGAATAGAAAAGAACAAGCTTCCTGGAAGCTGCCTAATCTGTTCTTACCAAGAATTTAAGGAAGGGAAGGTTGAAGCCAAGGGAAGGAGCATAGAGGATCTGTGGAGATAGTCTCTAAGGAGACAGCCCTTGGCTTTGAGGAGGAGAGGACCAGCCAGGAGGCTGATGAATTGGAAGAAGCCGAGACAAGAAACAGGATAAATTACGAACTTGGGACAAATGAGCCAATGTGAGCCAGCTAGATAAAAGACCTAACGCAAGCTCTAAAAGAGAGAGCTCTGAATTATTGGATTCCCATGGGGTGTCCCACTGATTCCTGCATGGATCCCGGGGCTATATGTGGCATCCTTTGCCAGTGTGAAACAGGAAGAGGAAGCTCCGTAATTCAATGTGTGTGATTGCTTGTATAACTAATAGTTGTGGCTTCAGTTCACACCAAGTAAGATCTTTGCAGCTTCAAATAAAAGACTTGACTGCATTGCGTCTGTCTGAGTCGCCTATTGGAATGATGTCAACTTAAATCTCTTGATGATCTTGGTGTGAAAAGTTGTCCTCAAACTGCAACCCGAGCTACATGACAGAAGTAAATGCTTTCATGTTTTCTTTTTCTTTTTTATTTAATTTATGGTCTTGAGGATTTGTTTTATTCTTTGCAACTGGCATGTTTGTGCATGCTCGAACGAGATGCACGCCTGCTGTTTGTAAGCTGCAGATCGTAAAAAGAATAGAAAGCAGCAAATTAAATGCAGAAATAAGCAAGAAAAAAAATGCCACTCATCTCTTTTCCCATTGGCCAATTACTCTGTATCTCTCCACCAGGGGGAGGCGTTCCTGTGCCTCCCTTACCCATCCACTGGTATTACATTATGGCTGCTGGCGGCGCCCTCCTTTTCCTGGCAGTAGCCATTTTGGCCAGAGCCCTCTGTTGCTGCCGACAACACCTGGCCACCAAGAAGAACCAGCTCTCCGTGGCCTATCACAGCTCCTCACAGTGCTTCCAGTACTCTAACTGGTCCACCAGTATGGCCACCCCAGGGGTGGAACCAGTCCTGACAGTGAGGCTGGACAGCCGGGACCGACACCGCACCCTCTGCTAAAAAAAAGAAAAAAGGAAGACTTGGCTTATTGCATCTGTTTGGCGCTTGGATGCCAACTTGTGATGTCTGTGGAAGTGCTGCAAAGACTTACAGATCCACCCCCTGTTTACAACCACTTTGCTATCATGGTGATGGTGACACTAAGTGAAAATTTGCAAAGAGACACTCAGCATCTTTAATGGAACCAGTTTGGGTCCTCTGTCTAATGAAGCTCTTGACGTCATTGCACCACCGAGCAGGACGAAGCAGCCCAGGCTATCGTTATTTTTCCTGAACAGCTTGATTCAGACCATTTAGCAGCGTCTCATAACCCCAACAGTCCTCCTGGAATGACCCCAGCATGGACTCAGACAAAGACATGTGGGCGGCGGGGGGCACAGAGGTCGAGCTGGTTCTGCTGGATGAGCCAGCCAGAGCTGCCAAACCGGCAGGCTAAAACAAGACCCGAGAGACAAAAGAGGGGGGGCTATGAGAAGAAAACTGTTAGGCTGAGACACATTTACTGTGCTGTAGCTGTGGAAATGATCTGGCAAGCCTAGAAAAGATACTGCTCATGGTGTCTCTGTAATAACAACACAGAGTAGCTGTGATGTGAGATGTGCCAACATTGAGGGCGTTGCAGCACAGGGTGGAAAGAAAAGAAATGTCTCCATTGTCCTTTTAAGCAGAGCATGTGCACATTTAAAACCAAAAAGGAATGCGAATCCATCATAGTTAAATCCCTGCATCGCAAATGGAGATAACCAGCTCGTTTGATTGAGCGGCTCATCCTCTCCTGATAAAGGCATCAGTCGGTGATGGATGCAGCCGTCCTCAGTGTTTAGTGTTTTTATCTTGACTCTCTGGTGTAATAAAGCACGTTGTTCCACTCCTACTCGTGCTCCATGCCACCCACTCCGGTTAAACCCCCCCCCCACCCAATCGCTCCGCCTCGTCTTTTAGCTGCCCAGATGAAAGCCTGCGCCGGGCCGAGCCTTGTCGTGTTTTCAGCGCGAATATGTGCTTGTTGTTTTTAGGGTGGTTGTAAATAGAAACAGCTGTCGGCCATCACCACATTTTTTTGATTTATGCTCCTACAAATCCCACAATGCCACAAGACCAGCTGGAGGCCATAAGTAAAGTGTTTTGCAGTTTATATGTGCAGCTTTAGGATATTATGATTTACAGTGGACAGATCTACACAAATGAGCTCTTTTCCAGACTTTGTTCCCTTCCAGATTGTAATAATGCAAAATCTATTAGTCAATCCATACATCAATTAAAGAATCCGTCCATCCATAGCTCAGTTTTTTTAGTGTTTAACCAGCTTAAACCAACTCAAACATCGAGTTTTGACGAAAAAATCTGTAAAACAATCCACCAATTATGTTTTTTGAATTCTTTCGTGCCAAAAGACTCCTGATGCACTTGCTCTTATTAAATCAGGGAAACAGCTTCACATTGAGAAAACAAGGTTTTAGATACTACTGATTTAAAGTCCAACTTTATTGTTTATGATGAAATTTCCCCCCCAAAAAATGTGACCGACACAAACTAAACTCCGCACCAATTTTCCTCCATCAGTTACCACAGAGCTGAGATGAAGTGACCCGAGTTCAGTTGGTTTAAATGAAATTAAAGCTGCGGCTTACTGGGGCGTATTTGCAGGGTTTGTCAAAGCTGCATAAAATCCATCACCTTCCACCCACACCTCTAAAATACACCTTAGTCTGGTGATAAAGCTGCAAAGCTGCACTTTTTATTCCTTTATCGTTGAAGAAAACTGTTTTTGGCTCACTCTCACGTTGTGCTTTTAAATCAACTGGGAAAGAGAGGCACTGGACACCTTAGTCAATCCATCCTGACACCATTACCCACCAAGCTACTAATAGCAGTAATTAGTTAATGGACGGCTAACATTTATTAAGGCTGCGGTAAGCACTTTTTCCCTCCCATCTGCTGCACCTCCATCGCCCAGTTCGTTGCCAACCTCCGTTGTCCTGGCAACAGTGTTAATAATGCCATCGGCCATCAAAGACCTCCACATCTAGATGTATCTCTTGCCAAGCTGCTACTCCCACTCCTGAACACTTGCCAGGAGCAGCAAACACAGAAAGACACAAAGAAATAAAGTTAAAAACCCAATTAGAGTGCAGCAACTATAGTTTACTAATGTCGTTCGAACACTGGCATTTGCATCGGGTTTAAGTTCCACCCGGCGTGTCAAAGAGTCCGACAGAAATAAACATTACTTCTTTTCTGATGTTTTGTTGGCTTTTCTTTCTTTCTTTAATTTAATTTATGTTAAATACACCACTCGTAACTTTGACAGCAAGGATTTCAACATTATGTTTTGACTTGTCCTGGCACAGAATGAGCAGTCTTATAAAACCTTTATCAAATGTCATGACTGTGTGTTTGACAGGAATGTATCTTAATTGAACTTTCTCTATCAATAAAGACGTATTTTTCTATTTTGATATATATGCTTGTTTTATCTTATATATTGACAGAAAAGATGTGTTGCAACAAAAGCTAACATTCGGTTGCTCAAAATTGTTTGCTGATTGATTACATGTAATTATATTTTAGAGTGAAAGCTGTGTTGCAAGGGAGTTTGTGGATTATTTTGCTCCTTTGCTATTTAGTATGTTAATATTTTTGGTTTAGCATATCATTTATACATCATTTAAGGAATGTGTTTATGTAACTCAAATTAACTTTGAGATCATGACAAAAATTAATAAAAATGTGGTACAATAAAATATTTTTTGGGGGAAAAAATAAGTTACATAAAATATGAGATTCCAAAGAATGAATTATTATGCAATTAGTGCAACAGAATATTTGATTTAACCTAGGCTAGGTCTACAAAATATTAAATTATGCAAAACTTGATGAAGTGACAAATGTAACCAAGGGTTATGTATCCTAGTGGGGTTTTTTGTTGTTTTTTTGTCACATAGATGGAAATATTTGAATGGTAAATATAGATTAAAATAGATCTGGAGTTCCCATTCCAAATTCAACTGGTTTCCTCTCCTTAATACGTTTATACCATTATGTTGTAAACATGAAATAGCGAGAGGATGGGTAGCGCAAACATTTTGTGCACAATTTCATATTCACTTTTGTAACTTCCAACATTTCATTGCTGCAGTTTTCAGCTGTAATGATGGTTTCTGTCTGTTACTAAGATGCACTCGTTCTTTACCACATTTCATGTTTTAACGCTCTGTAGTTTTGGTGCCTCACCAACAAAACAACACCGCACCATCGCTAGACTACAATAAAGCAATCTGATGGAGATTTGATATTTCTTAGATCTGGAAAAGCAAGACCTTGTTCATTATTTGGCACCGTGTTTTGAAGACTTTCTTGTGTGTGGTGTGAAGTGATTTCCTGCTAAAAGTCCCATCCTTTTCTTTGACAGATAACAGGCACATTGGAGATGGGCGACTTTCAATGGGCAGAGATCCGCTTGGAAGTGGTAAGGCCAGACCGAATGATCAGACACATTTTAAAATACGCTAATCCGTGACTTTAATAGATACATCTTTCCACAAACAGTTTGAACTCTGTTTTGCTTCCAGAATAGTTTCAATCTTTGTCATTTCAGGGACTCATGGTGTGGAAAACATTCCTTAAAGATTTCCGTCCTTAAAATGACATAAAGTCGATTTTGCTTTCTGTTTTAGGAGCCATTCCATGTAATGTTTTCATCATTTATAGATGCCATTGGTTTGGCTAATTTGCAATTCATGTTCACAAGCATTTGAACAGGTGCACCTAATAAAGCGGCTGCTGAGTTAATGAGTTGTGTACAGCCATATTTCTTTTGTCAAATTAATGATTTTTCGCATTTACTCTCCGTCCTGTCTTAGGTTTGCAATACCCAGAGTGGAACACAGCATCCCCTTCATCTCATCCTGCGGTGACACTCACGCCAGAGAAAGACAACTCGTGGCTGTACACCTTGGACCCCATTCTGGTCACGATCATTGTCATGAGCTCCCTGGGCGTGTTGCTCGGGGCGGTGTGCGCAGGCCTCCTCCTGTACTGCACCTGCTCCTACAGCGGACTCTCGTCGCGATCCTCCACCACTCTGGAGAACTACAACTTCGAACTCTACGACGGCCTCAAGCACAAAGTCAAACTCAACCAGCAGCGCTGCTGCACGGAGGCATGAGGGAAAAGATGCAGGCATTTCGTAAAATCTCTATGTTCTTCATCAATGCCAATTTTGTTGTTTCTCAGCGGAGCGGGTCTCGAGGAGAACTTGTTTGGGAAACGCAGCACCGTCCAGTATTGGCAGTTGTTTCAGCAACTGCACCACTGACTGACAGCCCTGGGTTACCTCCATGGATTGCTTCATTGCAGGGATGATAGGCCTCAAAAACGAAATATCAACACATATCAATTACTCAATCCTGGGTCACCTAAAGAGAACTTATAAATGCATCATAGATATGTCTAGTTTTCCAACTGGACACTGTAAGCTACACAGACAGAGCTGGACACGTTGTGTTGGAAAGGTGGTAGGATAGGTTTGCTTAGAAGAGTATTTTTTGATCACCTGTGAACACAGTGGCCTAGATCTTAGCTCCTTTGTAAGGCCCCTTGAATTTTTTGTTCCGTTGTCCACTCTTTGCTACCTATCAGCCTCTGTTCGCCCCCTTAGTTCCTGACTGTGGTATTTTTAGTTGAGAGTCTGCTCTATCACTTTTTGTTAAATGTTTTCTTTTGGGCCGGTTACCATTCCTGTGGTAGAAGATAAGTTGGGAGAAAAAGAGGTGAAGAAAGTATATATATATATATATATATATAGATATATATGTATGTGTGCGTGTGTGGGTGTGTGTATGGGTGTGTGTGAAGGGGTAGGGAGGGACACATTCTTTTACCAGTGTAGAGATGTTACTGTTAGATTTAGTTGTTACTGGTTCCTGTCAAAGAGAAGGTCGTGTTTACATTGGCGGCGAATCGGAAAAGGTGGAGGAGATTTGGACGGTGCAACCTATGGATTGCTGGTCGGGGCAGAGACTGAAAAACCCTGAAGGAAGCGAATCACAGGAAAAAAAGGGGGCGAGACTGTGACTGACAGAGCGCTCGAATCCCCACGTGCTTCTACCTTCTGTGAGCTGGCTCTGTGCTTTGGAAAACACACAAAAAAAAAAGAACAAATGGGATCAGAAACAAAGCAGAGACATATCCGATCAATAGAGCGACTGTGTGCCCACATGCACAACAAGCCTTAAAAGCAAAAAGGGTGGAAATGATGAGTTGTGGGGTTGTCGAGGAAACATCAAGACATTTTTACACATGGACCTGAAAAGCCATGATTTAAAGGACCTATCCATCTTTCCTCCTACACACACATACAAGCATCCGCCTCAACTTGTTGGCTAAAGGCCGCCTATTTTGGGAATCTTTTTTTTTTGTATTGCACAACAAAGCAAGTTGGGTTTTGTATTCAATGTTTTATTATTTGTCGTTGTTTCATGACATGGGTTTGAATCAGGCAGAGACTTGCAAGCCATGAGGAGAGAGAGCGAGAGGTCATTCCCTTGCACATAGACACCCAAACACTTCACCTGAACAGCTGAACCCAGATACTTACATACACTGTATAAAAAAACACAACCTGTTCTTCCACCATTCGACAATAAATCTGACCAAGAAACTAATGTATTTTGTGAGTGCACCAGTACCCCTACAGAGTTTAGACGGTCCTCTCAGGCTTTTAAGGTTGCTACTTTCACTTCAGTTCAAATCTAGTTTCTTCTGACCAAAGGAAATATCAACAAAAAAATATAGTCTCTGTTCTTGTGTCCATCTGTAAAATGGTAATCAGATTAATTAGTCGACTTATTAGCATCATCCAACATCTTAGCGCAATACCCATTTTTTAACAAAAACATATTCCTCTCTGGGGCACAGATAACTGGACATTCCAATGCTGCTCTTATGATGTCATATAAGGAGGAGGTATGTTTAAACTGTCGCCTTAAGTCTTATTCTGGCATTTAATCCTAAATTAACTAAAACCGAGAAAATTTGTTCCGACAATAGAGAAATAAAGGTTGTGTCTTTTTATACGGTGTGTGTAATTGTCCAGTTTTAACTGTGTTTACGGATGTATATAAAGAACATTGAAAACACATCATCACAGAATGTTTGGATGTACCCACAACCACTGCGACTTAGAAATAAAATCCGATGGGTTCACGATAGAAGCGCACTCATCTTGTTAACCTTCACCTCACTCTCGCCATCTTTCTGTTCCTCGGAGGCCCACATTTATGGACCCCACTGACTCTGTTCAAAGTGCCTTGGAGCCTCGGGGATCCAGCTTGCCTTTGGAACCGGTATAAAATATGACGACGGTCACAGCGCCATCTTCTGCCTGGGAGGACTAAAGGATAAAAAAAAGCAAGGATAGGATTTCTCTCACTCCCTTTTTTTTCCCGCACTACTAGGACTGCTGTTGGTGTTATTTTAAAGGGGTCTTTGTACAGAAATGCTCTTTTTATGATTGTTATTATAATTATTGTTATGATTATTTAATAAAGGATTTATACCATAATACACAAAGCACGAACTGGAACTTTTTATAACTTGTTCTTCCTGTCCAATTACCAGCCAAAACTTGGAGCCAATTTTTTCACTTTTAATTACAATAGGGTTACCCAAAGGGATTTGCTGCTTTTTTGTGCAACATACACATACGTAGGAGTGTGATGCCTGTCTGCCTGCTCCATTTGGCCTCTAATCTCCCCATGATGTCCCATTAGTCTGGACCTCCGGTGGCCCTCATTTAGGAGCTCCGACATCAAAGCTTTGAAGTGCCCGCCGTCTCCGAGACACACACTCTTACAGTACACATGCAATTACTCTGTTTCCCTTTTATACAGCCTGCTCGTTCTCCCACACACGGTTCCATTTATCTATATAAGCTTTCCTCACCTAAACGCAACGCTTTTGGCAAACAGAGCACAGGCTGCCTGATTCACTACGTGATTTCGCTTCTGGTTATTAAGGTAGTCACAGTGGACCTAATGTGTATGGGAACAGACATTCTGGGTACTAGGGTTTTAAAACCCTAAACATCTCATTATATTCTTGAATATTTGTGAGATGTTATTAGCACACGTATGAAAAGTGAAAGAAAAGTGATGAATCCATTTATTTTTATATATATAATATAGAAATCAGTAAATTGCGACCTGAGTCAACTCATTTAACCCCAACTTTCACAGAAAAAAACAGCTTCCTCTTGGTTACATCTCTGCCAGCTTTCAAAATACAGTTTAAGTTTTATTAACTTGTGGTTCTTCTTAATTGAACAGACGGACACCACGTGCATTTAGTGCAGTTGTAGCTTTAAGCATTCAATTGAATAATTAATGTAACACCAATTCAAAACAACTATCTTCTCAAACCACCTCATAATAAATAGTAAATTCACTCCAATCAAACAAAGAGCTTCGGAAAGGATTCCATACCTTTAGAATTAATTATTGAAGTTCAGTTTATCTAAGTTGGTTCAAATGTCTTCTATCTAAGAAAACCAGGCAGATATTATCAAGTCACTGTGAGATAACAGCCAAAAGTAAAAGCAGCAGTCTGAAACAGGCTGTAAGTTTAAATTATTTGGAAGTTTAACTTTCTTTACAAATATTTAAAATGTCCTCATCCCTGCTTGCAAATGATTTAATAAATTAAAGGTATAGTGGAAGATCATCCTTTTGCTTCCAGTTCAGGGGGGAACTATCGGTGTCCCCACATGAAAATCTTTAACACCATTGTCGATGCTTATTCCTTGCTAGTTTACTCTGGAAAAACTTAAGTTGGCCGTTCCTTACTTAGACTGCCTTGCAAAAGTATTTGGCCCCATTTAACTTTTTGACCTATTGCCAGATTTCAGGCTTCAAGGATAAAGATGTAAAATTTGTATTCTTTGGGAAGAATCAACACCAATTGGGAAAACTTTTTTGAACAAATAAAAAAAAAGAAAAAATGGGTGTATAAAGTGATTCAGCCCCCTTAAATTAACAATTATGGCACCACCTTTTGCTGCGATCACAGCTGCAAGTCGCTTGGGGTATGTCTATCTATATCTTCTGCACATCAAGCAAATTACTTTT